TGCTTGTCTCTAATAGGAAACATTTCAAATTATTGAGAAGCAGAGAGAGAAAGAGACGGATAATTGATGCAAGCAATTACAAGTTCTGTGTCGGAGCAAATTGGCCAGCATATCTGGACATGTAGGGGGACTGCGACCTCATTTACATCATAGTGTCAGGAAATAATTGGAGAATGTACTGAGGAGGTGGGATGGGCATAGTGTAACACAGACCAGCTCTGGTCACATTACATAAGCAGTTCACTTGGACAGTGTGATTCAGTTCAGACAAGAAGCTTATGGAAAAGACTGTACTCAAGGTCAAGGACAAAACATAATGTGCAGTCTTGGTATGCTCCAGCAAATTTAATCATAATAGAGATCTTTACCACAACAAATATTCTTTATGACATTAATCAGTTTCCAAAAGCTGTAATTTGAGTATTTGAAATGGTTTCACCACATGCACACAGGATTCTGAACAGGCTGTCATGTTTTCATCGGAAAGCCAGTAATAACTGACTTCAGTCTTACTGGCCATTAGAGAGAGTTTAGCTGTGTTTGGGCTGAAACCGCTTCAAAAGCACGGGGAGACGATGTGCTTGACTTTTAACAATATCACTTCCAGATGTTTCATTACAAAACAACTTTCAAAGACTTCACCGCAAGAAAACCTTCTCGTGTGAAGAGCCAGGACACACGAGTATGGATTTCAGGAACCCACAATTTTCACATTTTCATTTCAGTCGGAAAAACCAGCATGCAAAACTGTCTGGAGTAACACCAATAAAGTGCTAGTATAAATAATAGTGTTACAACCCACCCCAGGCCAACACACAAATCATTACCCCATGTTACAGCAGGCATGCCACACCGCATACTATTTAAAGGTGTTATCCAAAAACATGAGATAGCATTATATGGGTATTGATTTGACAGGCTGAATTAGTCAGTGGAACAGCTAGAAGCAAGACACAACAGGAAGCTTTGGCTAACTATAAAAATGGCCACTGAAATATGGGGGTGCATTCATTATAGTCTGCCTCTTGTGCCTCTCATCAGGCTGGCTAACACTGACTGGCGGGCTCTGACCCACTACTCCAGCGCTTCTCTCTATTGCACCCGTCTCTCATCAAGAGCCTTGGACGGAAAAAAAGAAGTAACATGCTGTTTACTCGCAATCCCAGGCCCGTAATTGCCAATTTATTTGATAGGCAGCCGGGTAATGATGGCATTTCACCCCTTGCCGCAGAGACTAAACGGGAGTGAATCATCCCAAGCTCCCTGCCCTCACTGATCCAGCAGACTCCCTCCGCTCAGGACTGCTGCCTGCCTGAATGCCTGCCACCCAGACAGAAGGGGTGGGGAGTGGTGGGGGGGGGTAAGGGGTGGTGGTGGGGGTGGCTGCCATGTCAGCTTCAAACAAACCCAAAAGGGAACCCGGTGCTTCACAGCAAATGCAGCTAAGCCTGCCAATTTAGCTCGGGTTTGGGGTTGAGGCAAACACAGCCGAGCTGATGTGCCATTTGTAGGCCTTAATGAGCTGGCAGGAAGGAGTGAGGAGGGAAGGAGAGCGGGAGAAAGGAGGCTGCCAGGCCTGACCTCCTCTGGCCTCTATCTCCCTGCCAGCCAGGTCGGCAAACTCAGTTCATCTGCTTCATCGGACCGTAGTCGCTCCATGAGGGGAAGGGAGTGCTACAGCAAATACCATTAGCGGACTGTTGGTGTAATGAACAGTTCAGGTCAAAGCTAGCTGCTGTCTCACACTGCTCCCTGGAACTAACAAGTGACTTAGATGCTTTCTCTTGGTTTTCGCACTGTGAGGGAGCATCTCTGTGCAGCTCAACATTAGCAGTCCAGTTGCATTGTGCAGTGTTACAACCAAAATACTTTTAACATTTCAGTAGGACAAGCAAATGGACTGACATAGCAAAGTGAAAAAAACACTACATGCACCTGGACATACATCTGCAAAAATACTATTTTAAAAGGAAGTTAGCTGTATTTTATATTTATAAAAATAAACAAAATCCAAAGAATTTCAGTGCCAAACAAAACGTTTTTTTTTTCTTTTTATATTCTCTCCATTTTCCTCTTTCCTCTGTTTTCTGTCTTGGGAGCAGAGCTCTGCTACAGAAGCGCCGACTTGCACCTCTCGCGCCTTGTGAAGTGGGTCTTTACAGTGTGGCTGGAGGGGACTTGTTCCGAAACCTGTGGGGACCAGAGATGAAGCCTCACACAGTGTGACCATCTAAAGTGACATGGGGGTCTAAAAGTCTGTCGTCATGCTGCCCAGCTTTCAGCAGCTCTTGTGAAGACATGCTCGGTCTCCTGTGGGGTGTCTTGACCAGATGAAGCAGGGGGAACCAGGGCTGCTGCTCCTTCTATCCTCCAGAGTGTAGTGAGTGGCTGAAATGCCAGCTCAGGTGGAAGTGATTATAGTCAGGAGTGCAGAGAGTAGATCCTGCTCGAGAAAACTGGCATTCTCAAAATGAATGACGGAGATAGGTTTAGGATAATGATCCAGAAAAATGACTCTGGAGTAAAAGTAAACACACAGGCTGGTGCTGTAAATCATATTCATCTCGAGGGGATTTCATAAACAATATTTAAACTGAATAAGCTGAATGTAAAGCGACAGTGATGTAAGAATGTGTCCTTGTAGGAACATTGAGGTGACTCAGGAATAAGGGCATACTATAAGATGTAACTGTTAAAATGTATTTCATTAGTGTGTAATGAGTCAAAATACACATCACCACAAAAGTGCGGCCTAAATGAAGGTAAGTGGTTTGTCAATGAGGCCAAGGCAGATTACACTGCCAATGAAAATGAAATTTCAAAAGGTGATTAAAGACATTTATAGAGCGCAAAGGCTTCTCCAACACATATTACAATAGTTACATACAGTGATTTTAATGGATCCTTGCTGGTCCCTTTAAGATAACACTGACTATATCATGTTCAATATAGCAACCAAATGCAATTGTTTTATAAACATCTGGTCAGTGTCAAAGACAGCTGTGCCAATCTCCTCATGGTAATCAATGCAATTATTAATAATAATAAACAATTCTGATATGGTGCGATAAGATGCATTATTCTGAAGAAAACTGACTAACAGAAGGAAAGCGCATCTAGCCTACTGCTAGATTTGGCTGTGGGAACCTGGCTGTCATTCAGCATGAATCATTATATAATGATACTTTATTTTATAAATTGTTGCTTAAGACCTACAGACAGGTGATAAAGCTGAAAAACGAGTGGAGAAACAGGATGACAATGTCCCCAGTCACAGGGCACGAGGGGTCACTGAACGGTTTGATGAGTATGAAAATGATGTGAATCATATGCTCGGGCCTTCACCGTCACCAAATCTCACTAGATTTTTGAGCGACGTGTTAGACAGCGCTCTCCATCATCATCATCATCATCATCATCATCATCATCATCATCATCATCTAAACACCAGATGAGAGAATATCTTTTGGAAGAATGGTGTTCAGAGACTTGGAGAATCGATGCCAAGGAGCACTGAAGCTGTTGTGGCGGCTCCACATCGTACTACGACATTTTATGTTGGTTTGTCTTTTAATTTGTCACCTGTCCGTATGTTGTACTATTTAGTTATCTGAGATCATGACAGGTGACAAATTGAGTGCTTTTCTCGTTCTCTATGACAGTCACAGTTAAGCATATTCGTCATCCATAGGTTAAGTGTTTTCAAACCTCCATTTAAGCACAATTTGTCTTGGTGTACTGGCGCATAGTCACCACAGTGCAGTCAGACAGAAATCAGCAAGTATCATTTCAATTTCTGTTGTCAACATCAAATTACTTATTTCATTTCATGCCCAGTCAAGCATCGTAAAGCTACATGCAGAATCAGCTTTGCTTCAGTTGTTCGGCCATGTCTTTCTCAAAGACTTGCTCGCCTCCCAACTGACAGCTTTAATTATGGCCAGATATCTGATCGCTTCGCTGTAGATTCTCCACACAAATCAAAGAGCAGGGGTGGGTGTCTCGCAGCAAGGTCCCTTAAGCTTGCTCGCTTCACATCTTGGAATACTGTCACAGGGCGCAGGGACACATAGCCACTCTTTCTTCTGTCAGTTAATGCTCGCCTTCAGCTCCTCCACAAGGAGCAAAGACCGGGGTAGGTAGTGTCTTTTTCTGTATCAGTCGTAAAAAAAAAAAACCCTGGGAGAGAGAGAGAGACAGACAGAGGGAGAGAGAGAGAGAGAGAGAGAGAGAGAGAGAGAGAGAGAGAGAGAGTGTGTGTGTGTGTGTGTGTGTGTGTATGTGTGTGTAAGGATGCAAATAGTGCTCTTCACCTGAAGAACTCTAGATTGAAGAACAAGAGTGCACTAAGGGTGTTTAAGATTTAGCACTGAGTGCTCTGCTGAGGCTGAAGTTTATGGCTTTAAGACCAAGAGAAATCTTGAAGAAATCATAACTTACCTTTTGTCTGTGTGACATATTGTAGGTGCAAGGCCATGCACACAAAACGACACTTGAATCATGAAGTTTAAAACGTGTGAGCTGATAAGCAATGCAACTAGTGAACAATCCTAGCAGATTCATTTGCTTATAAATTAGTAAACTTTTATTTCCTCATATAAAATATGAGAAAAATAAATAAATTATGAATAAAAATCTTTCTCAAAGCAAAGAAGATGGTGGCATTTATGTACCAACTGTAGAACTTTTACCACTAGTGAATATCTCCTCTTTGACCGTTACATAACAGGTACTTGGTTGTGGATTCAACATTGTTAAGATGATGCCATAACTCAGCCTTTCTTCTATTAATAGTGGTTATATCATATTTTGTTTTTTGAATAATGCAAGTAAATAGAGAGTCATCAGGGGACATTTTAAGATATGAATCTATGACTCCTAAGCTTATGACCTCATGTTTTTGATCATTGGAAATTATTTTTTCCAGATGTCTGACTGTGAAGAGAGGTTGAAATAACTCCCACTGAAGCATCACTGAGCTTGTTTGTTAATGTACTCACATCTGTCAGTCTGTCTCTGGAGCTGCTCCTGAAGGAAGGCTTCGACTCTCCACTGACACTCTCGCTGTCGCTGTCCTTGCAGTTGTTCTGCCCTGGCTTCAGCTAGAAAAACACAACACACAAGGAAACCAAGGGTTAACAATGTGAAGCAAAACTGTTAACACAGCAGTTTAGAGCTCTGCATGGATAACGCTGGCTAGCAAAGGCATCCCACAGAAATTGGTTCATGAATATGTGAGAACTGGCAGGAGCTACAGCGCTGTCTCTGTAAATCTGTCATGTTTTCTGAGCCTATTCAGCGCCCGTCACTCTGCTTGCCAATGATAGACGCCATCTGATCTCGCAGTATGAAACTCCTCTCAGCCCACGAAATAGAGAACAGGGACAAAGACCCCTCCAGAACCTTCAAATGGAGCCCCTATCCTCTCCAAGCAGACACCACATGCTGAGGCAGCAGGAGCTCAGCAAGTGTCATCCTCTAGACACTCTGTTCGAGATGCTGCAAAATGACATGAATAAAGAGTAGGACGTGCCAATCCGCGAGCATCTGAGGCCCTTCAAATTCTGGAGAACAATAAAAGGTTCTTGGGAGCGCGGCGCTGAGTGGGAGGAGGTGGGGTCTGCACTCCCTGTCCAAGTCTGCGATTGATGTCCTCTGAAGCTCCCATGCTGCTCCTTCCAGACCAGACAAACGCTGGAGGTTTCATTTCAAAGCCCATAAAAAGCTGGCTTTATGGGACAGTGCAGTAAACGGCTCCTCTGCCACCTAATAGGAAAGGCAGAGCGTGGTGCTGCACACACAAAGAACTTGGACAAGAAGATGATGGCACACTCTCTCTCCTGCTCTGGAGGGAAGGGACAAAGCTACAGTATATGTTTTTTTTGTTTTTTTTTTACCTCTCTGTGACTATTCTCTTTTCAGGTATCGGCCATCGTTTAGTGTGATGAAAGGGCACAAGGTGGGGGAATACCAAAAGAACCCTTGAGCTGAGCAGATAATTAAAATGAAAATGTTCCCTTTTCTGCAGCCATTAGCGGTGTGAAAGGAACCCTATTCCTTGGGAGAATTGCGTGATGGGTGGAAGGCGGGCGGATTTGCCAGAGTGCTGAACGTGATAAGAGAGTCTGAGCACTGGGAATGCCTGATGGGCCCTTTTGACTGCATGTGTGCACGTGTCTGAATGTATGTGCGTACATGTGTGCATGAGTGCATGTCTACGTGGTAGGGGGAGAACACACAAGAACCGGATGTGGCACGTAACATAGACACGGGCGCACCGATGCCCTGCACTGTGATAGCACTAATTACATCCAACACATTTTATTCCCACAAAAACCAGGGCGTATTTTCTCTCTTTTTCCTGTAAATGCCAGTTTGTCTGAGGGGAGTTTACATATTTTTTAGAGAGAAAAGGGGAATAATATCTCATCCACACTGGCCTGTGAACTGATCCTTGAAGAAAGGGCGAGGGATGCTGTTTATGCCCAGGTCTGTGGCTCCTTCATCAAAACATGTTGACCTATAATATTTATTAACCAGCCAGCGTCCCTGCTGACAACAACAGGCGGCGCATGCCAGCACGCTCATGTATTTATGAATGTGCACACACAAAAATACGCAGGCCGCACAGAAAGCTGCTGCTGACTCCTGCACCAAATATCGCAGCCCACGACCAAACTAATATATGGTAAGCTCACAAAAGAATATCATGGAGCCAGTGTGGGACAGATATAGAGATTTGTCTGTTATTAATCAGTGTGGTATCAAACTGACTCTGCGGTAGTGAAACCACATAATCACACCGTCTGTACTCTGGCTTATCAGTGGGAACATACTCCATGAAATCAGAAATCTTGCACAAATTTAACTGTGTGTAATGTCTGAAGAACACGTCTAATAAAGACATTCCAATAAAGAGCGGCTCATCTTTCAGGGCTATTACATAGCTTGGGACCTGATTACACAGCTATTTGAAAATGTATCCCTCAGCTTGTTCCCTTTAATTTCCCCCTGAGCTCCCTTAAATTACTTCAGAGAATTGTGTTTTTTTTTTTTTTTCATCCGCTCTCTACTTTCCGAGGTTCAGATGATGGATTCATTTCTTTTTATGATGTGATTAATGGATTTCTTAAGCAAATGGAGGGAATGCTGGTGGTCAGAGACATCAAAAAGTGAAGCTGGAATTTAATGACCTGCTGTCTGATGATAAATCTAAATGAGAAGCCCATGTGTGTGGGTGCTGGGGCCGTCTCTGTGACCTCTTCTATAATGCCGCTGATCTGATCACTCCCACTTGTTACAGCGTGCGAGTCATTCTCTATATTTTTATAGCCTCTTAAACTTAGCTTCAGTTTTCCCTCCTGTAATGAACACCAGTGCACTTCACTGCATCTAAGGCAGAGAAATTAGACGTGTGCAGATGCCCCAGACTGCTGTGCCGTACTGATGCAATAACATAAAGACATTAATTAAGATGTAGGCTGAGGCATACGGATGTATTTATTTAATGACCTCACTGTATCTGCGCAGCCCGGGTAAGAACTGGCCCTGCAGGAAGATAACAAACAGATGGTTTTAATATTCCAGAGGCTAATTTCACAACAATTAAAGACACAGCGAGACATTAGCATCTAATGAAACATTTAAACTACTAGTAAGTGTATCTGCCATTAATTTCTACACAGTGAGGTCTTGTTTTCCTGCAATCTGTTCTGTGTTAGGGCATAGAGTTTTTTTTTCTTCCTCGTCTCTCTTACCAGGCTGAATTTACTGAAGGAGAGAATCAACAACTGTTTTCAATCAGCAGTCAGCGTGATGCTTTGGAGGAGCGCAGCTGAAACCTCAGTATGAAACGGTTCAGCTTGCAAATTTGAGAAATCATTTAACATTTGTTATAAATCATCCTTTCAAAAAACACAAAAAGACAACCAACTATTCAAACGGTTACTGTCCCACTTTATTTGGACAGCCCAGCGCTGTCTGTATTATCTGTGTACTTAGATTCAAGTGATACCCAGATGAAAAGCAGTTTAATATAGTGTTGTATTGTCTGTGGAGATATTGCAAACACACGTTGTTTCACATCTGTTTTCACTGGATAGCTATGTTAACACTGTAACTAGTCAGCATTTGAATTATAACTGCAGTGGCACCATAACTAAACATATAGACTTATCCACCAGATCCTTAGTGCATTTATGTAGGAACAAGTGGATGAATTTTAAAGCAAAGCCTTGTTATGTTTCTTCTTTTGCAGAATTCAGAAATACGCTTTGGTCTAACACGCACTAGATTCTGAGACACCGATCCCTCTGCATGACAGCATTAACCTGCAGAAAGACAATACCACGAGACAAACAATCTGAATCAGTCAAAACAATCCTGCTTCCTATAGTTGACTAAACTGTGTTTTAGGACAACCCTAGCTAAACATTCAAGTATTCTCTTAAAGGTCTGATATAGTTAATCAAAGAAATCATATTATCTGTAGAAAAAAATTAAATAAAAAGGCCAACAGAGAAGATAGCTAACCCTGTCTTAATAGATAATGTAGAAACAGATGAGATGTCAGTGACTTCCTCTTCAAAGCTCTACCATGGTTATTGATTTCCAATAATGTGTCTGAAGATTGCCATTTCTTGACTAGCCTTGACCGAAGCTAGGTTCGTCTCATAGAACCTGCTGCATGTTCACTCATACACTCTCCATACTTGAGTTTCAGTTAGTCCTAACACACTGTACATGAGGAATAGCTACAGAACCTGGCATTTCAACGCCTCCGTACAAGGTCAGACTGAAATAAACAGGCGTCTTTTCAGATAGCCTCACATCAGCATTATTGGAGCTGCCACATGAAATACAAAAGGTGCTGATGAATGTCTCGCTTCACAAATCCTTATCTTGAGATGTCTACCGCGGCGCAAGATGCCTGTCTTTGACGTACAAAAGGTTTCATTAAAGACGACATAATCAAATGTCAAATGTTGTCATTTCAGTATTGTTGTTAGTGGCAGTAGAGGAGTAACAGTATTAGGCAAAAATGATTAAGAGCATATGCAATACTGTGAGACCCCCCGCCCCCGCCAGGTCAGAGTGAAAATGATACTGTATCTAATTTAACACTGTTCCCACTTAAAAGTACACTACGGCTATTACAACATTGTCTTGAACATGTGGAGTCAATTATTTTCTCACTTACAGAAAAGTGCTCACCATTGCCATAGTGGAATTTTACAAGTGTATTGACCTATTCTCAAGGGCTGCTCTATAGACTCAATGCAATCAAGCACAAAAGTAGACCTGCTAACATTTCTAACCACAAAGGCCTTTTTAAACAGAGCCATACACAACCAGCCTCGCCCGGCAACTCCACCCCACCAGCCCCCATCCCTCATCCTACAAAAGGAAAAAAAAAGAGAGACAGAGAACTGGGCTCAGTTTTCTGTACTAGCCTCAGTGGGATTCTGTAGCCATCAGCTCCTGGTTTCCCTTAGTTACGCACAACAGCAGCTGCGGAGCTCGGCGGTAATAAAACCTGGAACAATTTAACAGCTTTTATTGTTCTTCTGTGGCTTTCAGAACAGCTAACCTGTCCTCTCAGGATCTGGCAGAGAGAATCCCACTAGGGCAGCAATGAAAGAGGATCTCATTTACCTAAAAGCGCTTATAAATTTTTAATTTGCTTTAACAAGTAAATTAACAAGTCCCTCATTTGGGAAGTTTTATGGCTGCTTGCCACTAAGGGAGAACCATGAAAGTTTTATAGATAATCCACTACCTAGACTGTGTTGCTGATAATAAATTGTCTATTTCCTGCGGCACTGTCAAATCCCCTTGGTTCCCACTGACTACACTTTGAATATCTCCTTCATGCTACCTTCAGAGGTCTATATACCAGGGCTATTAAAGTGCTTGGGAGCTTCATGACTCAGCAGTTAAAATGAACAACTTGAAGAATTTCTGTCGACTTTATACAGGCGCTCTCGTATAGCCTTAAGAGATGCCATCGCCAAACATTAGACCACATTAAGCATCGCTAATAATGTCCCTACCAACCTCTACATCACATCAGCCTCACAGTGAGCCCATCTAGTAAAACCAC